TTTTTTATTATTATTATTATTATTTTTTTATTGAGAAATTTTAAATTAGATATTTAGCAAACGTTCATATATATATTTGAAAATATTGAGAAAGATTAATAAATATCTTAATATCTTTATTATATGTAAATTTCATATAGAAAAAAAGCTATAAAAAATACAATTCAGAGATTTCAGAAAAATGAATTACATAATCAGATTTTAAAAAATACATCTTAAAGCGATTTCATTTCTACACCAGCATCTAGACAATAATCACACGTTCCCTTAAACATCTCTGAGCTGACAAACAGCAGTAACTCAGGGTTTGATGTCGTCGTGTGCTAACAGTGTGTCTCTCCACGAGAGAAGCTCATGCACACCTGTCAAGAGCAAGTCAAGATTCAACCAAAACCTAAAGTAAAATAAAAGTGCATGAAGAAATATTTAGGATCATTATGGAATATAATAATAAATACATTATTTACATTATTAAATATATTTTTTGCTAATTAAAATCATTGCATTATTCATTTTTGGGCCTCTTATGCTCCTGAGAAGGCATTATTTCTCAAAGAAAAAGAAAAAATCTGGCCAAAATATATTGGCCAGAATTCAAAATGAATTTCAGGGACAAAAAAATTAATTTCTTTCTGTACAAAATATATATTTACATTTATTCTAAATATACGTTGTAAACAGTGAATCTCAATTAAAATACTTTTTAAAATATTAAATTTCAACCTACTTTTACCGAAATATATTTAATTCTGGGGCAATTTGATTTTTTTCCTGGACAAAATATATAAATATATGTTGTAATCTGTGAAGCTCAATTAAAATATATATGTTTTTAAATAGGAAATATATTTAGTTTCAATCTTTATATACTAAAATAAATTTTTATCCCACTTTTCAAACTTTAATACTGGTCCCCAGATTTCACTCCCGTACAGTAGAATTGGTTTAATGATTTCGTGATATAATTTGATCCATGTTTTAATTGGTAATTTTAACTGGCCAAACCGTGATTTTATGGCATAAAAAGCCTTCACAGCCAGACTGAAGCCCCCTGATGCTGAAATCTCGATGCCCAGGTAAGTGTAGCTGCTGCTGTGCTCTAGGACTTCTCCTCCGTGACTGAACTGGTATCGCTGGTATCTCTCTCTCTCTCTCTCTCTCTCA